ATTTCCCCAAACCCCTAATTTCCCAAATCTCAAATTCCCTAGATCCAAAATTCCCCTGATCCAAAATTCCCCAGATTCAAAATTTCCTAAATTCCAAATTTTAGAAATCTCAAATTTTCAGATCTCAAATTCCCCAGATTCCATATTCCAAATTCCCCAAATACCATTTTCCCTAGATTCCAAATCCCCAGATTCGCCCCTACCCTCTCAAATTCCCAAATCTTGAAATTACCAAATCTCGATGTTTCCATCCAGGAATATGTTAGATCGTCACAGGAGAAATGACGACCGAACGTCATAAAAACAAAAGGATCGTCCCGTTTATAACACCTACACTCGTCCCACCCCTCTCACCATTTTATATCCTGCAATTTCTCTTCTTTCGTTTGCTTTATCGCTTCGTCTTTTGTTTCCGTGCTCCGTTTCCAAACACCCTCTTTCCCATTCCCCTTTCCGTCGGTTCATCGTCCCTCTATCCTTCTCTATCCCCTCGGTTACCCGGATAAATTTCTCCTTTTTCGACACATTCGAGCTCTCGTATCCTTCCCTTTTACTGTCAAACGCGAGGAATAGCAATGAGGTCGAGGTTCAAGGCTGTCTACCATACACGTTATACTTTTTTGCCGTTTGTTTTTGTTGAATGACTACATATATTGCGGTGCTTGTACTTCATTACTGCTTCTCTACCTTCTTTGACATTCTACTTTCGTCTGATAAGAAAAGTTCAAACTATCTTATTACTACGAATCGACTCACCCCTTCGTTACAAATGTCGAGGTAAAAAAATTTCAGCTCCCAGAAAATTAAAGTCGCTCTATAAGATATCAACTCGAGCTAAAAGGACCATCATTAACCACGAAAAATATGATCATTAAAATTGCAAGTAGAAATGAGGATTCCTAAATATAGGAACGTTTAAGAAACGCGCAAAGTGTATGAAAATACGAGAAAAGGGGACGTTTTGACAAGAAATCATAGACGACGCGAAAAACACGAGCTGGATGGAAATTTATAAGCAAAACCTACCCACTTTGCCGAGAAAAAGAGACGGCAGTGTTTATTTGAATTTCTTTCGTCGGATGCATAAAGTAGAGCTGCGGTAGCCACTCGAGAGATTTTCATGAATTTTAATGCTGTTTAGCTGTGCAAATCGGGCTGGTTACGAGCACGCATGTCGTGTACTACAAATGAAAGTAGATTGCCTGACGAGTTGTCTTTCAGCTTGTTAAAAACGTTGTTCTCTTCACGACACTGTCTTGTTTATCTCGAAACTCCGCAACAATTTATCGCAGCACTTGCAGTCCCTTAATGTAATGAACCGTCTTTGTTCCCGCACGAAAATATGAGAATGTCTTCGTTTTCATACTCGATTCTTCAAATTACCTCGACAAAATGTATGGTGAAATATTTCGAGGGAGAAATTGTTGGTGTGTTTCGTTTCGCTGAAAATAATTTAACATTCCTTATGCGCTGCTATTTTTCGAGGCATTCATTTATCAAATTTCCCGGTTTTAAATATCACGCTGGCAAATTGTATTATCAGGAACGAGGGGTGCAAAAAGAATTATTAATACGTGGATTGTCACAGTGAGCACAGTTTAATAAGAATTATTAAGGACAAGTTTTATTACATTTTTATCGCAGGAAATTGCTACTGTAATATTAATTGTAGTAAAAATTCACTGTGACGCGTAGTTATCAATTAATTGAATCCTACACAAAGGGAAATTTTATTGCAAGTTTCGTTATGGAGTGTACAGTATGTCGGAAAAGTAATTTTTACAAAACTGAAATTGGTTATAAAGGGAGGGTTGTGATACCATGCGTCGTAATTCCCCGCGCTGTAATTCCACGCGTCGTAGTTCCACGCGTCATAATTCTACGCGTTGTAATTCTGTGTTTTATTAATTTTCAAGCGTCGTAGTTTCACTCGTTATTAATTTCACGCGTCGTAATTCCACGCGTCGTAGTTTCACGCATCGTAATTCCACGCGTTGTAATTCCACGCGTTGTAATTCCGTGCGTTATTAATTTTCAAGCGTCGTAGTTTCACTCGTTATTAATTTCACGCGCTGTAATTCCACGCGTCATAGTTCCACGCATCGTAGTTACACGCGTTATTAATTCCACGCGTCGTAATTCCATGCGCCGTACCTCCCCACGCTTTCTGTAATACCATGCGTCATAGTTCCACGCGTTATTAATTCCATGCGTCGTAATTCCATGTGCCGTAATTCCATGCGCCGTAATTCCATACGTCGTAATTCCACGCGCTATTAATTCCACGCGTCGTAATTCCATGCGCCGTACTTCCCCACACTGTCTGTAATACCATGCGTAATAGTTCCACGCGCCATAATTCCACGCGTTGTAATTCCACGTGTCGTAGTTCCACGCGTTGTAATACGTTTTCAGAAATTTCCACGTCAGAGAGAAAGAATACGTCGAGGCATTGGGGTCAATTAAAAATAAATATCGGTTCAATTAACGTGACCTAACCCAGTTTTATTCCAACGCGACAGCTCGGCGAATTTGGTCTTAATTCTGTTCAATTATGATGCGCTTCCCTATCGATACCTAATAAAGTCGCATCAATTTTTTCTCTTACCCGATAAATTCTTCCTCTTGCGAATATGTACGTTTCATGAAAATATTCTCTGAATTTTGAAGAAGGCGATATTTGTAATCGTTGCTTTTTGACGAGCATTTGCGAAGATTTAGATTTATCGTTTTTATTTCTTAATTAATTCCTAGCGTTCGTTCGCGAATCCTCGGTAGATATTAAAAGCGAGCTTCCTTTGAACGTTAACGTACAACGTTATCACCGGTACTCTGTGAATATTTTTACTTATCGCGATTTACTTTTACGACACTGGCTCTCGAATGCTTTTTAAATTTCATGCAAACGCGTTCGCAGAAATCGCTCGAAATATCAGGATAAATAGCCTCGTTTACTTAGCGGCCTTCTAAATTTTATGTTATTCTGTGTTTTTTATTAAACAATCTCGTATCTTAAGCTTAGGTGCCTCTACAACGCCCACCTAGGGACAAACGATGAATTATATCGCGTGGATAGAAGTGCTTTTACAGCGAAGCATTGTTACGGGAAAATATATTCCTTGACACAGTGAAGAAAAAGAATCAACACCGTTAACCGTTTTCCTTTTTTCGTTTCATTTTAATAACGAAACTTTAATACCGAGCGAAAAGTTCGTGGGATATGCTCGAAATATTCTGACAATGTTCTCGCTTCGAATTTTGCATTTATTGGATATTTATGTTATAAGTAACGAAGTTTTCGTTTATTTTCCGCTCTCAAGTCTTGAAACGGTGATATAGTGCGAGGTAGATGTTTCAGAACTTGTATAGCATGGACTGATTTAGCAGGAGCATGTAATGATTCACTTCTTGATAGAGAATATAGTGATTTAGAGAGCGTGGATATAGCAGGCGTCTATTTAGAGGACGTTTATATAGCATGTAGTAATATAGAGCTTGTTAATATAGCATATAGTAATTTAGAGTGCGCTGATATAGCAGATGTCCATTTAGAGGACGTTTATATAGCATGTAGTAATATAGAGCTTGTTAATATAGCGTATGGTGATTTAGAGCGCCTTTATATAGCAGGTAAATCGATATAGAATGCGTTCATATAATAGGTGTCAATATAACACGCGCCAATTTACACGCAATTGAAGTAACATTCGTTGTTTTAGAGTATGGTGATATAGAATGTGATTTATAGAGCACTGGTATAGCATACGCTGATTTAGAGCGCGTCGATGTACCATGCGACGATTTAGAACGAGTCGATACAGCACGCGTCCATCTGGAACGAGCCGATATAGCACGCCTCCATCTGGAACGAGTCGATATAGCACGCGTCCATTTAGAACGAGTCAATATAGCACGGGTCCATTTAGAATGAGTCGATATAGCACGCGTCGATTTAGAGCGCGTCGATACAGCACGCGTCGATTTAGAGTGCGTCGATATACCACGCGTCGATATAGCACGCGTGGATATAGTACGCGTCGATATAGCATGCGTGGACACGCGTCGATATAGCACGCGTGGATTTAGAGTGCGTGGGTATAGCACGCGTGGATATAGCACGCGTCGATATAGCACGCGTGGATTTAGAGTGCGTGGGTATAGCACGCGTGGATATAGCACGCGTCGATATAGCACGCGTGGATTTAGAGTGCGTGGGTATAGCACGCGTGGATATAGCACGCGTCGATATAGCACGCGTGGATTTAGAGTGCGTGGGTATAGCACGCGTGGATATAGCACGCGTCGATATAGCACGCGTGGGTATAGCACGCGTCGATATAGCACGCGTGGATATAGCACGCGTGGATATAGTACGCGTCGATATAGCATGCGTGGATGTAGCACGCGTGGATATACCACGCGTCGATATAGCACGCGTGGATATAGCACGCGTCGATATAGCATGCGTGGATATAGCACGCGTGGATATAGAACGCGTCAATGTAGCACGCGTCAATGTAGCACGCGTGGATATACCACAGATATATCACGCGTGGATATAGCACGCGTCGATATAGCACGCGTGGATTTAGAGTGCGTGGGTATAGCACGCGTGGATATAGCACGCGTCGATATAGCCCGCGTGGATATAGCACGCGTCGATATAGCACGTGTCAATTTAGAGTGCGTCGATAGCATGAGCCGATATAGCACGGGTCGTTATAGAACGGGCCAATACAGTGCAAGCTGTTATAGCACCGGCCCATACAGCGCAGGTCGATATCGCGCGGGTCAAAATAGCACAGGTCGATATTGCACGGGCCGATATAGCACAGATCGATATAAAACGCATCGATACTTCACCCATCCAACCAAATCGCATCAATATACCCCATCAATTCCCATCGCACCGATAAAACACGCACCGATTTATAGCACCTCTACATCATCATTCACCGTCTCCCAAATATTAATGTCTGCTCTAATTCTTTTGTTACCAGGTGGACTATCGACGATCACTCCCGAGAACAATAAATCGAGTCCAGCAAGTGGACGTTCGGAAAGATCGAGTTGCAGTGGCCATAAACGACCAATGTCTCGTTACGATGACCTCGTGCCGTTCAAAGGTAGCCTGGATCGAGGGAAATCACGATTTATCGGTTCGTTCGACTGTCAGTGGCCAAGTGGAACGTTCGATCGGTCGATAATTCGATTGGTCGACCAGGAACGACGTTAATTATGGGTCGGTACGAGCGCTCGATCGCTGTTACACCGCCAGATCGTGTAACGAACGCGAAGAAAGCCAGTTCGGCAAAAAAACGGACGTAGAGGTCGGAAATGGGCATCAGCTAATTGGATAGCCCGTAATTTAGAGGCAATCCAGAGCCGAGTGACGTTGACACGTTGAAACGTCGAGGACGGATCGAGATCGATGTTCGATTAACGAGAAGACTCGTTTGACCAGACGCTGGGATAACGTGGGACCATTAGAAGCATCGAAATGAAGCTGGGTGATAATATGACTATGGAAGGTTCGTTCCTAATGTTTTATAAAAAAATCTTTCAATCAGATCTAAATCGGTATTATTTCGCTCGCGAGGGACAGCACTCCGAAAGGCTTTAGATTAATTAATATCATTTAATTGACTTGCCGGCGAGTAATACACGCGGCCGATTGGATTGCCGATAATCAATAACGTCGTTTCATTGCGTTCGAGCGGTGCATATTCACAAACCTGTGCACGGCGGATCCAACCGGTTGCAGTTGATTATTTTCTGGTAATTTCCCAATGGTGATATCGTTTGAGAATCGAGGATATAATAGGTCGTGCGTTTCTGAGCGAAAATTGTTTATCGTTCAGTCCACAAAGCTATTACTGAGATCATACAGAGAGATAAAAATTTAAATAAAAACTCCGTTCGTTTAACATTTAGACTTAGCTGGTCCACACCGAGCGGTGAATTTGACCAGTTCCGCAAATTAATTTAAGTTTAAGAGCCGAGTCAAACGCTCTGAATTTTTGATGGAATCACGTAAATGTTTCCAGCTTTCTGTAAACAGCGTAATTCGCTGGGTTAGTGTTATTTGAATATTCGGATGACGGAGCAGGTCTAATGAGAGAGACTGGACTGTTTGCGAATCGTCGACGAGGAAACGTGGCTACGCTCGTCGAATCAATAAAGAGAAAACAATTAAGTTGTCTCCGTTCGATTCTCTTCCGACTTTTTCAGCAGGCTATAATTAAAACGGTTCCTTTCCAACTTCGCCTCAGAATTTAAATTGCCTGCTTTAAACCTAGAATTTCAAACGGTATTTATTGTCCCCGGGACGCGAAAGTAAAAACGATGCAATATTGTGATTAGCCGGAATTCGAGGGGTTGCAATAATATCGTACAATAACGTTTTCCCTGATTAAACGTTACATCCGCGCGAATTTTAATTGATATTCGAGTGAATTAAACAAGGACCCTCTAATTTCCGCTGAACCAGCCCTCTCATCATTATTCTATAAACAAACAGACAACGAGTCCTGAATTGGAACACGAATCGATATCCGAACGCGAATCCATGTCGTCGAAAATTTGTAGATTTCAATTAGCTACTACTGATCCCGGTGTTCTCGCCCCTCAAAGTACACACGAGGGTCGAGAAAACGGGTCAGAAGGTCGGCAGATCGAAAGGGAGAGGTGTTCCGTGATTCTTAATCGTGTTTGCACTGATTAATGAAGTTGCTTGTCGATCGCAGGTCTTGGTACAACCACGCGTAAACAACGTTTACGATTCGATACACTCGTGTTCGTATAAATTGGGTACATGTGGCAGCTACAATTGTCGTGGTAATTGTCAAATGTGGTGAAGATGTACAAAGTTATAGAGCATTGTGATAGAGCATATCTATACTGAGTTAGAGCTCGACGGTGTAAACGTTGATTTACAAGGTGTTCATACTTATAGATTCATGGTCCATCAAGTTCTAATGTGTTTATATAATACTTTTTGATATAACACAGCGAGTAGATTTACAGCGCATCAATTTATAGCATACTGATCTATAGAGTGTTGATTTATAGCGCGTTGGTTCATAGCACGTCGTTTTATAGCGTGTCGGTTTACAATATTTTGAATTGCAACGCGTCGATATAGCAAGGATTGATTTACAACGCATTGATATAGCAGAGCGCATCAATTTCTAGAGCAGTGATTTACAACGCGGCTAATAGCGCGTCGACTAATGGCACTTGACCTTACAACGTGTTAATATAGTATGGATTGAATTACAGCGCTCAAATATAGCAGAACGCGTCGATCTATAGAGCTTTGACTTACAATGTGTTGATCTATAGAGCAGTGATTTACAACACTTTGACTTCCAACGCGTCGACATAGCACGGGTTGAATTACAGCGCGCAAATATAGCAGAACGCGTCGATTTATAGAGCTTTGACTTACAACGCGTCGATCTATAGAGCTTTGACATACAACGCGTCGATCTGTAGAGCTTTGACTTACAACGCGTCGATCTATAGAGCAGTGATTTACAACTCCTTGACTTCCAACGCGTCGATATAGCATGGGTTGAATTACAACGCACAAATATAGCAGAACGCGTCGATCTGTAGAGCTTTGACTTACAACGCGTCGATCTCTAGAGCTTTGACTTACAACGCGTCGATCTATAGAGCTTTGACTTACAACGCGTCGATCTATAGAGCAGTGATTTGCAACACTTTGACTTCCAACGCGTCGATGTAGCACAGATTGAATTACAGCGCACAAATATAGCAGAATGCATCGATCTCTAGAGCTTTGACTTACAACGCGTCGATATAGCACAGATTGAATTACAGCGTACAAATATAGCAGAACGCATCGATCTATAGAGCTTTGACTTACAACGCGTCGATTTATAGCGCAGTGACTTACAAGACTTTCACTCACAACGCGTTATTATAGCACATGTTGATATCAACGCACCAATATAGCACAGAACACCGAAATAGCACCCGTCGATTTACAACACCACGCGCGCTAATTTACAACGCGTCAATCGATTCGCACCGTGTCAATATAGCACGTATTCATAACCAGCAGTTACAAAGCGTATTAACACGTACCATGCAAATGCATTAAAAAAAATTGCATTTGACGCGCATATTTATAGAAATTTACAAAGTCATAAATTACCTATACAACGTTCTAAAAGTAAGTTGTGTATCTAATATCAGATCGAGGAAAAAATCAAGATAGATGTGACTGCACTTCAGGAAATAGTGCATTAAAATTAATGAGAGTTATCGTAACATCTATTAACATTTGAAAACGCCGAAGCTCAACGTCGCTTGATGTTTCGCAGATTTATAAAACATGCATGAAGAGAACGCGCATAAGTACTTTCGTCACGAATGATTTATAAAAGACGCAAGGATACGGTTAATATTGATGGCCTTGCGTCAACATTATTCCGTCCTTAGATCCTCGTGAACGCGTTAAGAACGATCGATGACGGCGTCGAATATTTGAATATCCACTTGTTCGATAGGGTCGGGGCTCGTCAAACACTCTTCACGGTCGATACACGAAATGTCGGGCTCCCGTGACGTTCACCTTAATGCGTTATCCCATTCTATCCTTACGATCTGTGTTACCTCTCATAATATCTTACGTGGATATAAAAAAAATAACTTCGTAACTTCACAAATTCGTGTCTGAAATATTCACCGACATTAACGCCTGGGAAGCGTTCCGAAAGTTTACGAGGTTCCGAAGTTACTCCGCTTTTTGGGAGAGTTTGAAACGTTGCCCAAAGTTTGAAATTTCGCATAATATTCTACGCCGCTCGTTTCCGAATGCTTTGTGCGATATATTGCATTGGATAGCGAGATGATTAACAAGCCCGCGTATTTGCTGGCGCGTACGCATCCCTTTAATTCCGGAAGCGTGTCAAGGTAATACACACATGCATATATGCGGATACACGTTGTTCTGTTTGATTTACAAAAATTCATACGGCATGGAAATTATTGTTCCGACGCGGAGCTACAAGATGCATATTCAATCATTTATGTCGGTTTTTATCAGACTGTTTTGTAACGATGGCAAAAAATTTATAGTTAGATAATAGGTTTATGACTAATAGAGGAATGCGGTAATGTTCGAATGTATTAGTATGCAAATATAGTAAGGTAAAAATACAGCAATATCGGAAATAAGTTAGTAATAGTCAGTGTGATATAATAATTTAGAGATGTGATATAACACTTTAGGCATATAGTGGCACTAGCTCTCGCTCGTTGGGGACACTTCGCGCTCAAACACTGTCTAGGCACTTTTCGGAACTTTTGACTATTTTTCTGGGGGTTTTGACCCATTTTGAGAAAGTTTGGTTCTCTGGCAAAAAGTCGTATCTCTCACGGTTTGGCCAATACGCGTATAGGCAAGAGTGGTCGGGATGGTATGCTCATAGTGCCTTGACTCCTTTTCGCTCGCTAGGGGGTTCCTACGCTTCCATTACCTACTTTAATAATCTTTCTGGGGGTTTTGGCCCATTCTGAGAAAGTTTGCTCCCCTGACAAAAAGTCGTATCTCTCACGGTTTGGCCAATACGCGTATGGGCAAGAGTGGTCCGTATGGGATGCTCATAGTGCCTTGACTCGCTCTTGCTCGTTAGGGTGTTTCTCCGCTCCCCTTACCCACTTTAACAATTTTTCTGGGGGTTTTGGCCCATTCTGAGAAAGTTTGATCCCCTGACAAAAAGTCGTATCTCTCACGGTTTGGCCTGTACGTACATAGGCATGAGTGGTGAGAACGCATCATAAATAACACTACTATTATGAAGCAGTATAGTACTATAAACATACTCTAACACAACGTTACTTAACTAACACCAATATAGCACTATCTAAAGCTCTATAACATCCCAATAACCCAAATCCAAAGTAAACAAAAAAAAATTCCATCCTAATCCCTAACTAATCATAGATGATCCCGTAATCGGTAAATAATCAGGAAAACAGTGTTCGGAAGCGACGAGGAAGGAAACGATCTCGAACAGAAGCACTCGCGAAGTAGAGCGATCGCAATCTCGGCAATTATTTTTCCATCGTCATTCGGATCGATATCAGTGTGTCACGCGTGTGTGTACACCGTGTACGTGTGCTCTATGTGTCACTGAAACGATTCCAACGGTCCGGCTGGAGTTAGCCGACGCTGGTTATAGACGGAAAAGAGGATATGACCGAGATAATGCGGGTCCGGCTTCAAGCGATTCGTGGTCCCTTGGCGATTTAACAATTGACTTGTGCCTAGGAGTCGTCTGCGGAGTAATTGCAAGTGACCCACACTTGCTGTGCTACGTTCTCGTTTTTCTGTTTAACAGTTCGACACACGTCTTGTACTTTCGTGCTTTCGTACGCTTTTTGTGCTTCGTCAAGTCGAAAACCGGGGTTTGCCGATTCTTTGTGCGCTTTCTTTTGGTACCTTGTGATTAACTGAAACAGAGATTTGCTAGTTGGAAATGGGGTCACTTTTTTCAGGCACATTTAGGATTTGGGGAATGTGGGGAAATTTGAGGGTTAGGGGATTTAGGGAGATTTGGTGGTTGAGGAGTTTGGGAAATTTGGGCAATTTTGGAATTTGGGGAGTTCGGAACTAAGGGAATTTGGAACTAGGAAAATTTGTGATTTAGGGAATTCGGAATTAGGGGAATTTTGGAATTTGGAGAATTCGGAGCTAGGGGAATTTTGAAATTTGGGAAATTCGGAACTAGGGGAATTTTGGAATTTGGGGAATTCGGAACTAGGGGAATTTTGGAATTTGGGAAATTCGGAGCTAGGGGAATTTTGGAATTTGGAGAATTCGGAACTAGGGGAATTTTGGAATTTGAGGAATTTTGGAATTTAGGAAATTTTGGAATTTGGAGAATTCGAAACTAAGGGAATTTGGGAATTTGGGAAATTCGGAACTAGGGGAATTTTGGAATTTGGGGAATTTTGGAATTTGGGGAATTTTGGAATTTGGGGAATTTTGGAATTTGGGGAATTCGGAACTAGGGGAATTCTGGAATTTGGGAAATTCGAAACTAGGGAAATTTTGAAATTTGGGGAATTCGGAACTAGGGAAATTTTGGAATTTGAGGAATTTTGGAATTTAGGGAATTTTGGAATTTGGAGAATATGGGGATATTTTAAAGTTATGAGAATTTAGGAAAATTCGAGATTTGGTCTCTGGGGAATTTGAGAAATTTAGTGAATTTTAAAATCTGGGGAATAGAGTCATGGAGATTTAGGAAATTTTTTAATTTAGAAAATGCTGAAAATCTAAAAATTTAGCAAGGAACTTAAAAATGTAAAAAATTGTTAAATTTGTAAGTTTGCAAATTTTAATTACAATAGTTAATTGTTGTTTATTGAGACACCGAGTATGTACCGTTGATCGTAGCTTTCTAAGCGTAGTGATTTTCGAGTGGCGTGACGGAAAACACGAAAGCTCTCGCGTCACCGATCCTCCGGGGGATTAATTATCGTATAATTATCGTCTGGTGGCTACATCGAGGTACTAACAAAATTTCGACGCTGAACAAGGGGCGGAAGGGGTGGACGGGGTAACAGGTAACCTTCGAGACTCGATCGACGTCGACCAGTCGGTGAGAAGTTTTTTAATTGGGTTAGTTAACGAATATTACCATAGGGTAAATTTACTGATGTCGAAGGACGGTCTGTATCCAAGGATTAACACCCACAACTTCTTCGAATTAGACATTATTTTTGGATAAATATTACTCTTCCACATTTTATGTTTAAAAATATTTCTGTACGTTCTGTGCAATTAAAAATATATTTCTGTGCATTTCCAAATATATTTTTGTATATTTTCAAATATATTTCTATGTATTTTCAAATATATTTCTGTGTATTTAATATTACACTTTCTGTAAGTCGCGCATTTGGCAATGTTACAAATTTTATTCGACTTAAATTCGGAAATATTACGCTTTAAATTCGATGTAACTTTTACTTAATTTGTATTTGGAAGTGTTTCAAATTCTATGTGATTTATATTTTCAAAAGATTCGAGGAAATATTCGAAATCACCTATTTTAGTCTTTGTACTGGAAAGGTTTCAAAATCTGCACCCTTAGAAATCACAGATCTGAAAATGTTCCTCCTCGAGAAAATTCCGATATTACGTCTTGTTTGTGTTAGAGAAGCCATCAGGTGTCTAGGTCAAGATTAACCCGTCTCCGAGATAAATAGCCGGTAATAGTAAGATCGGATGACTCAATATCGTCGATCTAAGGAGAGGGTTGTCTAGCTTTGATCACCGACCCCTTTCAATTAATTACCGCCCGGCGTGTTCAATAACGTGGTAACGAAGTTCATCGGAACGCGAAATCTTTCGAATTGGCAAAAGTCGTGACCACTTCCGTTTTCGTCAACTTCTAACGAGTCTCCTAATCGATACGGTGGCACTCGGTTCATTAGTCACTATCTTCGTATCCGCTTTTAATCATTGGCTTGATTTCATTCCTGATCCAATTACCTTCGATAAATTGCACGGATAGGAAGGCGACTTTGATCATCGTTGATTTTCAATTTCGAAGGATAATAATTACCTGATCGATAAAAGGACGACTTCGTTTGACCCTTTGATTATTTTTTAAATACGTAGCTTGTTATTTTCGAGGGTATTCAAATATCTCTGTTGTGTTTCAGCGTATAATATATGGGGCGATGTTCCTCCACGGAAATGTCGGCCACCGAAGATCGGCGATATACCAAAGTGAGTTTTCATTCTTTACTTTCGTAATTTACCTCGAGTTTATTTAAATAAATTAATTTATTATAGTACAGAAATTTATTCAAGAGTACATACATTTATTAGAAAGTTCATATATTTCGGTGAATTAATTTTGAATCACCCTGTATATATTGCATAATGAACGTAAATCTTGCAAAGTATTTAATAGCCTGAATTGGAAGCTTTACGAAGACGGTACTAATTATCAGAGAGTAACGAGGGAAAAGAAATGTTAAGAAATTTCGCTAATTGGCAGAAAAATATTTTCGGGGTCAATTCGCCTAATTGTTCATTACGAGCTAAGAAGAGCATTTCTCGAGCGATAAATTTCTCTTCGATTGACCCCGACCTTCGCGAGCGGACTGTGGCCGCGAGAAAAAAAAGTCTCGACGGCGTCCGGAATCAAGAAGCACGCCTCTAATCTGCCATAATGCATCTCGACATGCAAATAGATATTTTTAACCTTGTTTCGAAGACGATCGATAGTCGCGAAGGCAGCACCGAGCTCGTCTAAATAATTGCTCCTCGACGTCAGTCGCAGAACGCTTCGTGTGCCTCGCGTTTAGACATTCGGATGGTTTTTCTTCGTTTTGTTACCGTCAAGGACGTCTACATCTTTTTTGCTCTCATTATGTTTCTTGGTTAATTTTCTTCGTGTACGCTTTATATTACCGCGCTTTCTATCGCCACGATTTGCTTTGTGACGCTTTAGATTCGCTTCATGTGTATTTCCATGATTCATACTCCCACGTTTTACATTGTCAGGCTTCATAATTTTATGTTTCGTATCGTCACGCTTTGTATATTTAGGTTTCATGTCGTCACGCTTCGTAATTTCACGTTTCGTATCGTCACGCTGCATAATTTCGTGCATTGGGTCGCTAGGATTTACATTCTCAGGCTTCACATCGCCACGATTTAGTTTCTTACACTTCAGATTTACTTAATTTGCTCTCATGCTTCATACTTCCACGTTTCATATCGTCACGCTTCATAATTTCATGTTTCATGTCGTCATGCTGCATATTTTCATGCATTGGTTCGCTAGGATTTACATTCTCACGCTTCACATCGCCACGATGTAGTTTCTTACACTTCAGATTCACTTAATTTGCTCTCATGCTTCATACTTCCACGTTTCATATCGTCACGCTTCATAATTTCATGTTTCATGTCGTCATGCTGCATATTTTCATGCATTGGTTCGCTAGGATTTACATTCTCACGCTTCACATCGCCACGATTTAGTTTCTTACACTTCAGATTCACTTAATTTGCTCTCATGCTTCATACTTCCACGTTTCATATCGTCACGCTTCATAATTTCATGTTTCATGTCGTCATGCTGCATATTTTCATGCATTGGTTCGCTAGGATTTACATTCTCACGCTTCACATCGCCACGATGTAGTTTCTTACACTTCAGATTCACTTAATTTGCTCTCATGCTTCATACTTCCACGTTCTATATCGTCACGCTTCATAATTTCACGCTTTACATCGTCACGCTTTATACTTCCACGCATTCGTTCGCTATATTTTACATTTTGCACGCTGTTCACATTGCCACGATTCGTACTTCCACGCTTCATGTAGTCACGTTTGATATTTCCACGCTCCATACTGCCACGCTAGATATTTCCACGCTTCATATCGTAACGCTATTTACTTTCACGCTTCGCATTACTACGCTTCATATTTTTACGCGTTATACTGCCACGTTTCATATCTTCGCTTTACATAATGGTAGGTTTGATATTTCCACATCGATTCATATTTCCACGCTACTTATCTCTACGCTTGCTATTTCCGCGCTCCATATCGTCACGCTATATGTTTGCACGCTTCACATCATCGCGTTCCAGTTTGTCACGTTTAACATCGTTGGTTCACAGTTTTACGCTTCGCGTAACATCGCTTCACACTTTCACGCTTCATGTTATCGTTCACAATTCCACGCTATATATTTCCACGGTTCACAATACCACTCTTCCAGAAATAATTTAATGTTATTCAAGGACGTCGAGTTACGTCATTTGGTCCCTAAACCCACTCAACGATCGACATATAATGAACATTTTTAAATTTGAAATGAAGTATAAAAATAAGTACAGCATAAAATAACTAATGTCTCGAATCTAAATTTATTTCAATGAAAATCAACATGTATTTGTAAAAAAGTAACCTGTTAAATTTTGTAATAAAACAATTTAATTTTGCAATTTTCTTGTGCAACTTAATTTTGCAATTTTCTGCTGCAATTTAATTGTGCAATTTTCTTGTGCAATTTAATTCTGTACAAAAATATTTTGACACATGACGAATCGCTTGTAATATTAAGCACAGCAGCTTCGAATTCCACAGCAAATAACTCTGGGAACGTATAAAAACATGAAAAGAAAATAAGTGGAGGGTGAACCGAAATCTCCCGTGGACAGCGTTGAGTCGAATCACCGTATACATCTAACGGGAGAATCAACGCCAGAGTTGAGTTATCGTTCGCAAACGCGGTGCGTCGTAGCGCTGGAATTTCTATTCTCTGTTTCCTGCACGGGACTTCATGCATTTTGTCTACGGTGGTGTGAATTATCGGGTCGCGATGATTAATATCGTTCCCGGTTACACGTTCTACCAGTTGGCCCGCATTCGTGCTGCATATTTGTCAAATTCTGGCACCATCAACTCCGCTTGATAAGATCGGTGTCTGTCGGGTTTCAAAGAGGAAAAGCAAGATTTCTGGACTGATGAGTTCATAGACATTTTTAGATGTGGTTATCATTTTTTAGTTTGGATTATTATTTTGGGGTTGATAGATTTTTTGGATGTTTTGGGAAATATTGCTATTAGAGTGGAAAGTGTGAAGGAGGGGATTATGTATTAGGTGGTATATGGTCAGTTATGGAGACAGGTAGTCTGTGCTAACTACTGGACTTATTTTATAATTCCATCGATGTGGACTAGAATTTGATGTTCATTTGATCATTCACCTCATCGACAGATCTCAGAGTTGCAGTATTTGTAGATGGTCAGTTATGGAGACAGGTAGTCTATGCTAACTACTGGACTCATTTTACAATTCTATTCATGTGGACTGGAATTTGATGTTCATTTGATCATTCACCTCATCGACAGATCTCAGATTTGCACTATTGGTACGTGGTCAGTTATGGAGACAGGTAGTCTTATGATACTATTGATAGGATCTAGGTTTTCATGTTCTATTAATTACATATGCAAACATTCACATGAGTCTGATAACCAGACTTGTCTTATTACTGACAATGAAGCTTCAGCTGTTGGTATATGGTCAGCTACGAAGACAGGTAGTCTACTGACAGCCAGTACCACTGTTTGACTAATGATGAATAAATTTGTCGTCCACAAATGACGTCCACAAACGACGTTCACAAATGACGTCCACAAATGACATCCACAAACCTAAACAATCAATCCACAAAGCTCCATATCAGTACCACAATTGCACCTAGTCAATCTCCATTTGAAATCACAGCGAAACGTCCTCTAAAAAAGATGGTTCACCTGGAACGAACGTACCTATTACATTCTCCATTTTTCTCGCACAATCGAACGTGTTTCTTCGTTTGACCCGGATTTACCGATGCTTTCGTTACCTAACCGAGCGCACACAGGCAGGATTTCCATTTCTGATTCAAGGATCCATTGCAGCCTCGACAGAGACAGTTAGGCGATACACGAACAGTTAATAGCACAGCTAACCAAACCGAGATTGTTTCGATCACGAAACTCGCGCAGCGATACTCGAAATGAACAAATAGAACCGGAAGGGTTAACCACGTGTACGGGATGTGACTCGCGTTTCTCTGTGTTTCACTTTTCAGTCAGCCTTCGCAGTGCTTCCGGCTCGATGGAGCGCGTTAAAGCGAGCTTTTCACGAACGTGCTCGCCCATATACGAGGGGTAATCCCATTTCAGCTACGCCGACACGTCGCCATCCCATCTTTCTGTCTCACGGTGAATAGCCGTAGGCTACCGAACGGTGATCGTCGCCGAAAGTAGTTAGAGAACGTTTTTTATTAGAGCTCCATGTTCAACGTTACGATTCAGAGATTTCTTACGAGCTTTTCTTTGTGGAGAGCTCTATGTCAGCATCAAGTTTTAGCTAGTGTTAGGGAGTTTTTTTAACTGACATGGTTATAGTTAAGTATTTCGAGTATTTTTATTGTAGGGTTTATAGGACTTTAAGGAATTGAAGTTCGAGGGGTTAGAATAGGTAGATTGCTTAATAGGTTTTGGGGCTTCAAGGTACCGATGTTTCAATGTCATGAGAGTGTGGGACATCTGGATTTGATGGCTGTAATAGGTTCCTCCAGGTACCTCAAGGATCCTCAAGGCTCCTCAAGGCTCCTGAAAGCTCCTCAAAGCTCCACAAAGCTCCTCAGGGCTCCTCAAGGATCCTCAAGGTACCTCAAGGTTCTTCTCGAGGCTCCTCAAAGCTCCTCAAAGCTCCGCAAGGCTCCTCAAAGCTCCTCAAGACTCCTCAAGGACCCTCAAGGTTCCTCAAGGCTCCTCGAGGTTCCTCGAGGTTTTTCTCAAGGCTCCTCAAAGCTCCTCAAGGCTCCTCAAAGCTCCTCAAAGCTCCTCAAGGATCCTCAAGGTTCCTCAAGGCTCCTTAAGGTTCCTCAAGGTTCCTCAAGGTTCTTCTCGAAGCTCCTCAAAGCTCCTCAAAGCTCCTCAGGGCTCCTCAAAGCTCCTCAAAGCTCCTAAAGGCTCTTCAAAGCTCCTCAAGACTCCTCAAGGACCCTCAAGGTTCCTCAAAGCTCCTCAAGACTCCTCAAGGACCCTCAAGGTTCCTCAAGGCTCCTCGAGGTTCCTCGAGGTTTTTCTCAAGGCTCCTCAAAGCTCCTCAAGGCTCCTCAAAGCGCCTCAAAGCTCCTCAAAGCTCCTCAAGACTCCTCAAGGATCCTCAAGGTTTCTCAAGGCTCGTTAAGGTTCATCAAGGG